ATAAGCAGAGTTGCATTTTTGTCTTGCTGGATTTGGTGTTGCCACATGTACATACATATGTGCCTCTGAAAGACTGGTGCACTTAAGTACTATACTTAAATGTTCATGCGCAAATTCCTACATATGAGTACATACACACATATATGTATGCATGTGCGTATATACATACATTTGTAGTTTTTGTTTTGTGTCAAGAGACTTCTAGTTTTAATAAAAAAGACTAGTAAAAGCGCAAAAAAGACAAACACTTCATATTCTTCACTTCAACAAAAAATGTAGAAAATTGCATTGCAAAGTTAATTGATAAGTAAGTCTGTATTACCCATGCACCAATAACCTATTTTTTTTAACTTTAAATAAGTATTAACACATGCAATTGCGGGCTGGTATCAGTGACGTACAGAAGATTGTACAACGCCGAAAACGTATTGTACCTAAACCAAATTTAATGGGGGATCACGAAAATTCTGTTTACATCTTCTTAGAAAGGAGAAGATCGTTCATATTCATATCGAGTGCTGAGCGGATACAAATCATATTTGTCTGACGAGATTACGGAACCCCAATGAAGATCTTGGTAGTGGAAAGGTCTTATCATCTATGAACATGGCAAAGTTAGGATCACAGCTCCCACTAAGTCTTTTTTGGCCAACGATGATATGAAGAAGATAGCAAACCACTCCAGGTTGCTCGATTATAGTGGGACACATTCAGGCAAGCACTATGCAGTGGCACGCTATCGGCTTCAAACCCCCACAAGACACCGGTACAGGCATCTTTGTCAACCCGATGAGATTATCTATGCCTATGGAGAAAATTCCGAACATTTCTTAAGCGAAGGTCTTTGCTAGTACTCTGTGTACAGAAATAACTTACGTAGAAACAACTCTAGTCCTTAGCTAGAGTCGAGCGGCACTCAAGGCTGTCATATCTTTTGCTGTTAGATCACATCTAGTCATCGAATACAATAATATCCAGCTACTTGAATAGACGACGAGAGGAAAGGCTCAATGTCCCCAAAGGATGAGCTGTCACTATCAATATAACATATTATAAAAAAAAGCTATATGAACCACCCTGTAGCATCAATTCGTAGATGATGCAGAAGCTGCAGCTGATATGAGGACCTATCCCAGTCGAGTGTGCGCCCTATTTGACGTGCCACCCCATATATTGGTCCTCTAATCCATCTTAAATATGCTTGCCAGCTCGACAAAGCAGATTACATGAGAAGTATTTGTGATAGGAAGGTATGTGCTAGTTCTGTCTTTGTACCCTGGAATCTAAATTACCCTTTTGATTTACTTAGATCCTAAATTGTATAGAATGTGTCTACATTCGACAGATGCTTTAGTGGCAGTTGAAGGCTAAGATTAACCTTAATCTGCCATAGTGCGGTTAATTTGAGAAAACTTCAATGAAAATGTGGTCTAAAAAGTTAAAGCTCTCAAGCACTACAGGATTTTCATGCGCCATATCCATTTTTTAGTTAAACATATGAATATAGAATTTTTAGTTTAGGTTTAAAACTTATTTGTTATGGTCTAATTGGAGCTAGGAAAAGTTATTTAGAAAGATCTAAAAAAAAAACAGGATAGGAATTTTAAATTCATATATATACATATAAATGTAGATTTATATATTCATCTTTATATTTTCTTCAACCCAATTTTTCAGCTATCGCACAAATTACTACGATCGCCAATTGATCAAGAAATATCTGAATGTGGATTTCGATGTTGATGAATTCGCTAAACGCAGCACCAGCTTAATTTTGGTCAATCAACATTACACCTTTAATGGCAATAAACCGTTGACACCACAACTAATCGAAATGGGTGGCATACACATCAAAGAGAAGGCGACAAAAGCCACCTTGCCAGCAGAAATTGAGAAATTCTTGAAAAATGCACCACCCGACGGTGTACTTTTCGTTAGTTGGGGTTCCATGGTACGCGCCTCCAGCATGCCCAGCGAGAAAGCGCAAGCAATAGTGAAAGCACTTGAACAACAGCCCTTCAATGTGATTTGGAAGTGGGAGAGCGATGAGGTGCCAACGAAAAGCAAGAAATTCCTCTTCGTGAAATGGGCGCCGCAGCTTAGTTTGTTGTGTCAGTGTGCTGGACAACTACATACATAAATATTGCATTTACTATAAAAAATGTATAATTTTTCTTCACCCCTCAGGTCATCCAAAGGTGAAAATATTCTGGGGTCACGCTGGACTACTCGGCACTACGGAGAATGTTTACTGCGGCAAACCAATAATTACCACGCCGCTGTATGGCGATCAAAGTGTTAATGCGTATGCAATACAAAATCGTGGTGCGGGCACTTTTCTGCTCTACGACGATACACGGTGGGCAGGAAGCGAAGATAGGTTGCATAAAAATGTCGACAAAATCTGAAAGCAGGGTTGTATTTGTTGATATCTTAAGGTTAAGAATCCGCTTAAATTGAAATCCTAGCTGCTCCTGCTTTAAAGATATCCACATTTTATATACTTCTGATAGGATTAGGTATACAATATTGTATGCTATATAATACGGTAGTAATTTTTATACCTTTCATGAGCATGAAATGGTATTATAACTTTGGTCC